GTCAAAATAAGTGACTGGCTAAAGGTACCATTACTGTTGTTCAAATTTCATTTCACTCGGCAGGTATATTCATGTACCCCAAGAGAAAAATATCGTACTTATTAATATTGTTTACTTCTGCTATGTTTCGAAAAACGGTACTCCTGAAGGGACTACTTTGTTTGGTCCCATACCTCATTTGCATATGAGTGGTGGAAATACCGATTTTGATTTCAGGGACGAATCAAAATAAACTGCAGTACATATGTAATAATTAACAATTATGGTGTTGGAACTCAATGATAATATACCTATTTATGTCTTGCATTGATATTTTTTTAAGATTTGGTCGACAAGAATGATACAGATACACTCCTAATGGAAATTGAAATCATGAAACGAACCGCAGAATGTGAGCACCTTGTTGCAATGATGTATTGCAACATTAAAACAGGTTTGTAATTCTGTAATTCTATTAAATCGTTTACTTGTTCAAGTTCAATACACAGTTTAGCTAAAGACTGAATTACCACCTTACAGAACCATACTTCATGGCGCTAGAATATCCAGTGAATGGACTTGTCAGTGAATACATGGCGGATGCAAATGCTGGAATATCTGAGACAAGCCTCGTTGAATTAACATCGATTGCTAGAGACGTTTCAAGTGGTATGTCATTTCTGGAAAGAAAAGAGGTATTGTATTTTTGTATTCAAGTCTTTACCATGAATATATTTTGTCAAGCATTCATGTTAATATATAAAGTATATGTTAATGTGCTTGCGATATTTTATGTTTCATCATTGTTAATGCAACTTATAATCTCCGATGAAAATACACTCATTTATATGTACTAATAATACTGTTTGTTGTGTGTGTTTGTTTTCCCACAGTGTGTTATTCGCATAATTACACTAAACAACATATACATCGATAGACAAAAACGAAGTAAAATATTTGATTTAGGATTTTCGTCTTCTGTTATGGACATGGTGACGTTCAAGGCCAATACTAAGGTAAGACAAACGTTTGTAATCGGTCATACTCCATATATAGTATGCGGATGATACAATTGTGTTGATATAGTTCTTTCATTTAGTTCAATTTGCTTGTGTTTAGTTGACTTAAATAATTCGAAATGTATCTGCCAAAATAAGTTTCTCATTTGTAATATAGAAAAGTAATTCTCTCATTTGTAATATAGAAAATGGCGAGTTTATTGTGCT